GGGCGGAAGGGGGGTGGGCGGGCAGGCTCCCCTCACAGCCTGGCCTGCTGGCCACGCACAGGAAGTCAGGCTACTAACCATTTCCTCTGAGTCACCCGAGCCCGGGCACTCTGAGCCTGGAGCAGCCCCCTGCTCAAGCAGGGAAGGGCTCAGCCCAGGGCTGAACTGGGGTCCGTGCCCCCCAAGTTCACATCCCGCTCCTGTGGCATGCTAGCTGCAACGCAGTGCTATTACTGACCAAGGTGCTTCTGGCTGGAGCCTCTGCAACTCACCAAACCAGCCTCCGTTCTCCGTGGGTCTGCCTAAGAGGGTGGGAGGGGATGGGGTGGACTGCATGATTCCCCTGTGGACGGCTACCGGCCTGCGGGTACGCAGGGAGCCATCTGAGAAACAGAAGGGGCTCTCACTTCCAGCAAGAGCCAGGAGCAGAGTGTGTACTCGGGGTCCTGGGGCCCCACACAGTGAGCCTTCTTGGTCCAGTAGACAGCTGTGACCCCGGAGGACAGAGGTCGGAGGAGCGGCAGCAGCAGGACCGTGAGGCAGAGCGGTGGACTTCTCTGTCCACAGAAGCAAGCCACGCTGAGTTGGTAGAGCGGGGCGCCTCAGAGCACTGAACTGGGGGGAGCCGGGCATAGCTGGGTACCCTAGGCTAAAAATCTCACCAGCTTCTGCAGCTGTAAGCTGGCTGTGTGGCCAACGCTGCGGAAGGACTGCAGAAGCCCAGGTCAGGGAGCCAGGGGAGTGGGGGCTGGGTGATGCTGGGGTTTGTGGAGTGTTGCAGCAGAACGCGTGGGAAATCATGAGCCCCCACTCTCTTGGGACTCAACCTGCATTAAGTTTTTCCTGAAAGACACGGATTCTGCACCAGCTAGTCAAGTGTGTACAAGCAGCCTTAGCTGCCCGAGCCTCCAATTTCTCCTCTGAGGCCAGCCCACGAAGCACCGGACCCCCGTGCCAGTGAGGGCTCAGTGGGGCCCCCCGGGGAAAGCTGAGCAGGGGCTGCTGAAAGACCACCACTGCCATTGCCACTGCTATCACCGCGACCACCTCCACTGGTAGGACGTCAGCTCAGAGACTCGGGAC